ATAACAATTTCGTTTAAAGAATTCCACATGATGCAGTTGTCACTTTTCTTATCTGCCCGAACAGTGAAATTAGGATAGGTCAATCTATAAAATTTATGACGATTATATTCAAAATGGCTTAAATTGAGTAAGTTATCGTTTGCTTCCACACCAGTAACAGAGTTGAGTTCCTCCTGAAGCCTGTTGAATATTTGTTGTAGGGGTTTGCTTTGAGCATGTAAATATCGCTTTATCTTTTTTATATCGGCTTCAAACGGGTAACAGCTATACGAATCCAAAGGACCATGTTTTTTGGCATCATCTGCTAGATGTAAAAGAACGTGAACATTAAACGATACCGTCTCTTTTCCATATAGCTCAGGATAACTATTAACAAATGAGATCAGTAACTTTTTCGCGACTTTGTTGTACTTTTCATATAGTGATGGGCAACAGAGAATTCGAATGTCAACTGAAAAATTCAAAAAATGGGAAAATGTGGTTGTAGGAATTATCTGATGGAATATGACTAGTCCTGTATACAAAACAATATTTCTAAATTCTGTTGCTTTCATTTTTGAAACGTAATTAAGGGTCCTCAGCTTTCTTTGAAATTCCATTGGTACATATTCTGTGCATTCTTTGATTCGATCGTCGATTTCTTTCATATTTTTTTTTCGTTAGCTTTTGTGGGTCTTTCCTGTGAATGCAACTAATATTTTTTTACAGACTCCTTCATCAACAGCGTGCATTTTGTCGATTACAAAGTCTTCAATCATGTCAATTGGTAAGTTTTCCAAAATAGTGTGGTCTTTGGACATGTGGAGGTCATCTTTATCATTATTCCACATTCTTCGTCTGAATTTCGAATCGGTACGTAGAGGAGCATCGACTTCGGGATATACTATTTTCCTCGAACCGGAAATATTCGTCCCCCGGGTTTCACATTTTGGACATGCTGAATATCCTCCGTGTGATTTTATACCCTTGATGTACGCTACTGCTGGTGCATCTGCGACGATACATTTTATTTTCACGGTATATACCTTACCATCTTTATGAAATCCAGTAGTAAGTAATTCCTTCATTTCATCGACAAACTCGTTGAGAAATGCGTTAAAAGATGTTGGTTTCGATGGTCCATTGAAAATTCCTACGATGAATACATGCCGTATAAACCCTTCGGTATGGATAGCTCCCGATATAATCCACAAATCGTTCGCACCACTTTTAGAAACAGGTGTTTCGTCTACCGAAAAAGATAGCATAATTGGTCGTCCTTCTTTGATATGATCCATCAAATTGAACTGGTTCAAAAACTCCGCTATACCAATGTGAATGTATTCTCCATTGCACATTTCCCGAACGTTGGATTTTCTTGGTGTTTTAAGAAGACTACGCGCATCATTTGGCAAATCCAATCCAGTATGTTCCTTCAAAATCTTCAGTAAGTCGGAGACTCCGGCCAACGGAACACTGTATTTTGAAACCCAACCTGCCAGATCTGCTTTCAATTGGGAGCTGGGAGAAACATCAGTTGTTCTAATTGATTCATCTGTATTCTGCATAGGAAACACATTAAAAAACAAATTAATAGCTAACAAACGTGTGCATTGATAAAATTAAATCCGTCACTAACATTGTTTCCATACTCGTTTTCAGTCAACGGATCAAGATTTTTCCATATTGTCTCCTCAAAAGCTTGATCCAAATACTCTATATACCATAAATTCGTTCGAAGAGGCACTCTCCGTTGACGAATTCCGTACTTCATCGCAAGAAGCATCAGCATCTGGTAAATGAATGGGGAGGCACGTCCGTGGCCGCGGCGAAGCAAATGTTTGCAATTGTGGCTCTTTAAGTTTATGTCGATGTGCTCTCGGTCTTTTTTTAAGAACCCGTGGTAAGATTCTCGGCATTTTGAAACGAAAGAGGAAACTTGAAACCTTGACGACTGACTGTTTTAATGTTATGACAAATTATTTCAAAGATGCATGAATAAATGTACAGAAAATTCGACACACCATGTACAAGAGTATGTTCTGCAGTCGTTGGGAAGGTCATCAACAGCAGCTGTAGACCCGAGGATCAGCAACCAACAACGAAATCAGTATACCCTAAATGGCATGGGATCGAAACTAGTAATTGTGCAGTTAAAAAAGTCTTAAAAATATCAGCACTGTAATTGACAGAAATATCACAGACAAACAGACATAACACTCTCAAGTTGTTCATCGAATAAGCATTTAACGGTCAATTTAAAAGTATCGTAGTTGGTAGTACCACCACCTGCGGCGCGCATAGTCATTTTCCTTGCATTTGACGTTTACACACTACCGCCATCTATTCAGCGTACTACCCACCACAGTGTGCTCAACAGATGGCGCTAATGTTTCAGCGACGATGTTTTACAGTGAGAAATATTCAATCTGTTATGTCTGTTTGTCTGTGGAAATATGTTTACTTCTGTTGATGATCACCGTCTGGCTAAGATGATTCAATTAAGTTTAAGTTTAAGAAATTAAGTTCCACGCTTTGCAAAAAATATTTTTTTACAATATTTAATTACGTTTCAAATAAATCCACGTAAAGATCAGTACTGAACTGGCAACATAAATCGATATCTTTACATCTTTAACGATTGGTATCGAGATTTTGATAAAAATCTTTATAAATTATTCATTATTAGACTTGGAGTAGCTTTGAATGGCTTCATGAAATGGTGACGATCGCTATCGATTTTTTATATGAATGGCTTTAAAGGCCGATACATCGCAATTTGAAGAAATTTAAATAAATGGTTGGTCGGGATTTCGGTATATGAGAGAGTGATTGCAGTTTGCTCAAAAGTGCCTGAGTAAAATGCAAGTATTTTCGATGATTACCCGTAGTTGTTACAGTGAAGATATATGTACACCCATATTCTTGTTTATGTCTGGACGTGTTTGCCATACAGAAACATTTTTATTTGATTTTGTGTGGTGGATGGGTTTCGGGCGTGGACGGGCATATGGGTGATAATATTAAGTTTACGTTCACAGCTAAAAAAAAGTAGTGTAAATTTCCGTTACTATGATGCACATAAATGGAGCGTCATATATCATACAAATTTAGATTATAGATAGTGTAAATTTATGAGACATGTCATGCAATATCCCATATATTGTATGCAACTGTCCACTTTTGTTTGCAACATTTCTTGCAAGTTGCTAATTTACGTGAAAAGGAAGTTTACATGTATGAATGTTTGCATGCATGGATGTTTACATCGCCAGTAAAATTCAGAATTTTTTGGTGTGTAGGATAACGTTGAAAAATTGAGAAATGTATCGCTTCAGTTTGAGAAGCACTTCACTTCGCAACCGATGAACCATTCTGACGGCCCACATTGCCGTGCAGGCGCCGTGTGTTGGCAGGGTCCAATATTGGACAGTTTGACGTTTATAAAGTACCATCAGTTAAAACTGTATGTTTGAACTTTATCTCTATACATTCTTAGATGTTTCTTAGTAGATTATCATGTTGGTGTAAGCTGATTCAAAGAGTAAATGGTATTAACATTGAGCTGTCCATAGTTGGGCGTTATTGAACTTCTGGTACTTGCACAACATTTCATGTGAATACCAAAGTAACCATATAATCACAAAATAGCTTTAGGTGTGGGTTCAGAGTGGTACAATGTCACTGAGATATGGTTAGTTGGGTATTCAGATGAAACTATTACTTTAAAAAACTAATCCTGGTTGTATCTCTTTTTCGTTTGCATGTAACACTGTTTGATATTACTAACCGCACCGAGCCTTCATTCCGGGTGGTGAGCGAACCTGAAGAAGAAGAAGAAGACCATAAGCCCCTTCTCGGAACGAGTGTTTTGTTAGTGGACCTGGTCTGCGATTCAAGGTTGGACTCTGTGATGATAAGTATCACATAACAGGTAAAGTAGGCAGCATCATCTTTATCGAAATGTAAGTATTATTGACAATAATCATAACTAGATTATATGCAAATTTATATGACAGGTACCTGGATCAACGTTGTTTAAACTTGCACATTCAATCGTGACGGCATCTAATTCTGCATTTTAAACCTACCCAACCCTTTTCCTTTCTACAATCCCTGAGCCGGTGGTTCAACATAAGTATACCTCGCAGAACTTTTTTAACCCCCATGGGTAAAGATGCTGTGTTGCTCACTCCTCTCCCCTTCCCTGGTGTATTATGGATGGTGTGAATATTCACATCGGTGACATGGCCACTGACCCCCTTGTACATCATAAAATGAAAATGAAAATGAAACTCGCTAGATTTAACGTTTCTCGGTGCGTTTGCTGTTGCTTTTGATAGCCAATACAACCTGTTACTACTCTGCATTGAACAAATTCTAGAAAATTGCTTCACTTAGCTGTTGCAATGCAAAGAGAAAATCGATGAAGAGAATCGATCATCGCGTATTCGCCCTTATGCATGCTCACTGTCGATATAATGCAATAGCAGCACACACCTCATAGAGATCATTAACCTTCATAAACTTTCAGTGAAGTCATCACTCTAGAACAAGGTGAGTTTGATAGTAGTAGTACTTAAACCATGCATAGAGATAAGTTAATCTATCAGAACCTGGACGGACACTTGCGCCTACCGGGGGGAGGACCCAGATACCACGATCCACGTGAGTCTAGAGTATCGTACGAGCTGACGAGTGCAACAGGAAGAACAGTAGGTGTATAGACTAGGGAGTTGGTCCCTAGATAAGCCAACCAGCTGCAATCAGTGTAGGCATATTGTCTCTAGGTACCCAGAGGTCGTTAGAGCAAGTGGAGCAAGATCTAGAAAGTATATAGAGATCAACTGACGTTATACGCAAAAGTGTCCATAAAGATTTTATAGAACATGGGACACTTATGCGTATAATGGCAATCAAGAAATTGGGGGGGGGGGGGTGGGCAACATGGAATATGTATTCAGTGTTTAGTGCTGTGTTGTGTTAATAAACAATTACAAATAATACTTCTTCATAATAAAATAAAATGTCTTTATTCGTTCATACGATCTGGAAAAATGCCTTGTTTATAAATAGTTAATTCCCTCGGGGTGGTTTTCAAAAGCAGCAACAGTCACACCCAACATTCAACTTTGTTTTCAGTTTTGTAGCTCACAAGAATAAAGCTAATTAAGTTTGCAATGGTAGATGCTATGGTGCTAGTCGTTATGTATAATAATACTATTCCAAACAGGAACTGAGTGGTTTCCCGTATTTACTGTTGCAGTACGTTAGATATTCCAACGTAAACACTCGCAGGACCATATTGATGTTGCCCACAGTCCTGAGATTGACATTCTCCTCACTGTCTTCCGGTTTGTGCCAGTGTTTGGGGAATGGAACCGGTATAAGGTGAAGTATTGGAATATCTGAAATAAATAGGAGTAACATAAATGCTTTGCTGCATGTCACAAATTAATATTCATACTTCTCTTCAAAAACGGCAAATGATCATCCTCGATCCTACTGAACGAAGACCGATCAACGAACATCTCACTACTCTTGGGATCCTTCAGCAAAAGTCTGTTCTTCCTCAGGTTCGATTCTATGCTACTCAACCTTCGGTGGTAGTTTTTGGTATTATCAAAGAAATTGTAAAACTTGGGATTCTCTCCTCCGATCAAATCCAGTAAGACCATCAGTTGAATTCTGTCAATTTCTCGCATCGATTTCCCCAATGTTGGCGAGACGTAGGGCATTGTGGTCCACTTGGTGGCCAAATGTCGCGATCCATACAGGGAATCCGTCGCCGACCACTTCCTGAAGGCTTCCTCCCCGTCAAAGAAAACCAACATCAGGCTGAGATCGGTGTTGTTCTTGAGTAGTGCCAGTGCCGATTCGGTAGTTTTTGCCAGATTTAGCATCATCGCACAAGGAACGGCCGAATCCACTGCTCCAACGAAAGCGTGCTCTCGGAAGTATTTACTATCATAATGGCAGGCGAGGGTTAGGTATTTGTCCGCGGCCGGATTCAACTTTCCAATAATGTTGGAAAATTTCAGTCTTCCAAAGTGCGGAGTGTTATCATTGAACTCGTCCAGTTCTACGGTAAACTGTAGTTCCTTCAGCTGGTCGACGAGGTAGCGCTTGACCTCGTCGTGGGTGGCCGTGCCGACGATGCGTGGTTTCAGAATTTTCTTCAAAGTCTGGCGAAAGTGGGTGTCATTGTTCGACTTGGACACCACTCGCATCTGGTCCACGGTGAATTGGGCGTTGACCTGTAATGAGAATGCAACAGAGCATGATGTACTTGATTAGAATTGCTAATTGTGTTTACATGTTTTTTTATTTGTTGCGATATGCGAGCTGGGGATCGTAGCACAGAGTATAGATAGAGCTGCGCTATTCAAAATTATTAGGTAAGATATTTATTACGAAATTGCGTATGCGTTATGAACCATTGAAACAAGGCTTCGACAGAGTTTCATTTTTATACATCTACGATTCCTCCCTCTGATTTTCAGTCGCATGTTTGTTCATTGTTTAGGAATCGTCCATTAATTATGTCACACTTTTAGAGGAGAGGGGGGGGGGGGAGGTTGGAAACTGTGACGAGTCATACAAAAAAAATTAAGGTCCATACAAATAATGTGACGTAATAAACATTTGCGATCAGTTAAATTTGGCCGTGAATATGGCATTTGAGGAGTATAATTGAAAAAGTTCAGAAGGATCTTCTCCAATTACGTGAAAACCAAATTAAAATCTAACAATTTTCCTTCCAATTTGGACGATAGGGTAGATGAGCACTCGGAAGATATATGCAGTTGGTTTATAAATTTCTTCCAAGAAATCTATACTGTTTTATGTAACTCTTTATTTGTTCCAAATGCAAAATAAATTACATTTCATTTTAACCTAGGTGCTCTTACAGTAACTTACCAGCCTTAATTGTTATGGTACCCAAGTAACATTGCAAGTTTTATAGTGGTTTTAAAGCATGCTACAAGCAGTGTTGGAAAAGTTCGTGATATTTCACGAAGTTCACCAAGGGAAAAGTTCGCGATTCATAGTGATTTTTTGCGAACTTTTCCATCACTGGCTACAAGTCTAAATCATGGTCTACAGAACGCTCATAAAACCAAAATTGTTACTTGGGTATATATCTAAGTGGTTTTACATTGTTCCTGCCTAGGCAATTCAGTATTTTAAACAGGTTTTCTAAACCGATCTCTTCTTGTAACTTACAAGCAGGGTGACTTCCACTCACTTCGCTATAAAAAATGTTTTTCGTGTTTATGGAATCATTGGATGCTATTATGAAAGTTTGTACTTATCAGAAACAAGAAGAAGTTGGAAGGTATGTATTTGACGCATAAAACCTGTCAATTTCGCTTTCAGTGCGTCACAATCAGCGAATTTATGACTCGTGAGCGTTCACTCAGAGTGAGCGCTCACGAATCGTAAAATCGCCGATTGTGACGCACTGCAGGGTTACTTCCACTCACTTGATATATTTTTTTTTTCGGAATTATGAAATCATGAAATAGTATAATGGTCATTAGTACTTGTAAGTTACAAGAAGAGGTCATGAAGTGTATGTTTGACACATAAAATCTGTCAATATTGCTTTCAGTGCGTCACAATCAGCGATTTTACGACTCGTGAACGCTCACGAATCACAAGATCGCTGATTGTGACGCTCTGAAAGCGAAATTGATAGGTTTTATAAATCAAACACATACTTTACACCCTCTTCTTGTTACTTACAAGTACAACATATCATTATAACATCTAATGATTGCATAATTCCGAAAAATATATTTTTTATAGCAAGTGAGTGGAAGCAACCCTGACGCACTGAAAGCAATAATGACAGGTTTTATGTGCCAAGCACCTAGTTTACAACCTTATCTTGTGACTTACAACTACTAACTATCATTATAATATCTAATGATTTCATAATACCGAAAAACAATTTTTTATAGCAAATGAGTGGAAGCAAGCAAGTACTAATTATAGAGGCGCCGGTGGTGTAGTGGTAAGCGTGATTGCCTCTCACCCCAGCAGGCCTGGGTTAAATCCCAGTCGGCGCCGCCAGGATGTTCTGAGGCATAACATCTCCAACGGCTTGACATCCCCTTCGGAAGGGAAGTAAAGCCGTCCCAAGTAACCAAAAGTTCTGATAAAAGGCTATTTATGGCTTAAGCACCTTGGTTGAAGGTGGTCTATAGAATTCTAAGCAGCCTCATTTTTAAGTCGTTATAAGAACTTGAGAGTTCCGGTACCATAATTGAAGAGCATTCTAAGAAGCCTCTGGAGGAACTTAAACGGAACTTTTAGAAAATAAATTAAAAAAGGTTTTTGTCCTCTACACCAAGTCTATATATTTAGTTCACACTTTTATCAAAGTTATTTCTAAAGGCAGGTATTAATGTGTATTGATTTATCAGCATTAGTAGTAGTAATGGAGCTGTTTGAAGAATTAAACCCAGTCCTTCTGCGTGAGAGTCTCAGCACGAACCACTACGTCATCTGAAATATATTAAAGTGAGCTGTTGTCCCGCCTATTGTTGGAATTTTCTGAGCCAGCTGACTGACTTGAATACAAAACACAACACCTTGATGAATTTAAATTGGTGTTTGCCCGCATGGTATTCCATCACACTTGTGGCGCAGTAATTAGCAATCGTAGATCACATGCCGAATACATGGGTTCGAATCCAGGAGATTACTTTTAAATTTATTTATTTTTTATTTTTGGATAGAATGTTGCATAAATATAACAATTATAATTTATTCGGGCCACTTATTATTTCATATTTACGTTCATTAAATTTTGTAAAAAAATATTTGTGCGGATTGCTTCATGTGGCTTGAAAGTTCTGTCGGAACTTAATTTGAACTTTATGGAACTTGAAAGTTCTGTCGGAACTTTATTTGAACTTTATGGAACTTGGAAGTGTTGAATGCGGAACTTTTAATTACTTGGGGTTGGTCCCCGGTTCATGAGTTGATGGGTCGATAGGTAGGATCCAGGTGTGGGAGCTGCCTCCCTGGCGTCGGTAGCATTGGTGCTCAGCACGGAAAACAACATCGACGGAAAACAAATCAAGGAAATAAAAAAGTACTAATTATCATTATAGCATTTAATGATTTCATAATTCTGAAAAACATTTTTTTTTATAGCAAGTGAGTGGAAGTAACCCTGCTTTCGAACGCTCGGTTTGACGGATGTGGCTTGTTTTTCACTCCGCTTTGGTTTCTTCTGCTTCTTATACGTCTTTAGACCCATTCTTGCCTTGGCCCGCTGGATGTACCCTTCGAGGATCCCACTTTTTAGCCACGTCTCGAACCGAAGCACGTTTCTGCGAGTGAAAGCTTCCACGGTTTAGGTCCAGATTTTTGTTTGTCCTGGAAAGTTGCTTCATTACCATACTTCTGAATAGCGTTTCGAACGGCTCCGATGCTTACACCACAGACAAACAGACATAACTCTCGCAAGTTGTCAATCGAACAAGCATTTAACGGACAATTTAAAAGTATCGTGATTGGTAGTACCACCACCTGTGGCGCTCCTAGTCAATTCCCTTGCGTTTGACGTTTACACACTGCCGCCATCTGTTAAGAGTAGTGCCCACCAAAATATACTCAACAGATGACGGTAATGTTTTAGCGACGATGTTTTACAGTGAGAAGTATTCAATGTGTTATGTCTGTTTGTCTGTGCTTACACCTTCCAATTTTGCTACCCTAATAAACAAATGGCATAAAAGAACTGCATCCCGGATGGGTAAACTATCCCACAAATTGGATGATACCCCGAACACGTCATTAAGCTATCTTTTATGGTTATTTTTATTAGGGTAATTGGGTCCTTTAAGGGTATTGAGGTAAATTCGTAATCTGCATTAAAATGGAACCCAAACCCAAAATTTCATCAATTTTGGTACACTGGAACTATTTTAAATAAGAACAACTAAATTTGCAAAAATCACCTTATTAGCGCCCCTCGGTGTCACTTTTTATGGGAGCGAGCTGTCAGTTTGTTGATTTAGTGTCAAACAGTGATTATTTTACTTTAAATCTTGATTTAAAAATCGAGTTGAAAGTGTGGGTTCGAAAAAAAATATCGCTGTGCTCAGAAAACGAAGCTCTTTCAGATGATATATATTTCAAAATTAAAGAACTCAATTAACTCAGAGAAATATTGGGGATAGTAACACCGACAAACCGACATGAATGACCATAGCAAAAACAATAAAATTTCTGACCAAAGCACACTACTGACATCTGGCTCCGCGTCCACGGTAAATATTTTGCTATGCCATGAACCCGCATGCAAAAGTTATGAATTGGCTCGTGTCTGATCTATTCTGGACAAATTTTTTTTTACAGTTCGGATCACTGCACATTTAAATCTGCCGTTTACGATTTTCGGGCATAAGTCAGAATTAAGTGTCATGTCGGTTTGTCGGTGATAGTACAGCATTTGTGCACGATCTGTTTGCGCTTTTCCGGAGAAATGCTTCGCATTGTCACGGAGATGTAAAGAGCCGACACTTGTGATACATGAAACTGTTGGTTGAAATGTAAACAATGATTCCGCGTGATAATCAGCTGTTTAAACATCATCTGAAACAAGCAGGGGTGTTCCAAAGTCGTGCTAAGACATTCTGGGACACCCTATATCACGTCAACACATTCCAACCCATTCCTTAATTGACCTGCATTTTGAAGTAATGATCGTGATGTTTTACATAAATATCTGCAATCTCCTTGACTGCTCAGTTTGTCTTCCTTATAAATAAAAATCTATAGAGCTGTCATAAGAACGCTGTTCAAAAATTAACTTGAATAATCCATAGACAGCATGACTAAAATTTTAAGTGTGATGATGCAGGGCATATACTGTGTGCAGTTGTTTTTCGAAGCTAACATGTTGTATTTATTTATCTTTAAACAGTTTAGCATGTGCCAGATAATTAAATACAACGCTATTTAGGAGGCTGTCTGCCATGCCCATTTATACAATGACTAATGTATACACATCACTCATGGTGAAAGTGACTTCCGAACAATTCTATACCAACAATTGAATTAGGCGGAACAACCAGACGTAAGCAATGGCTTTAAACGCAAAAATCCCAAAAATCAAAACACACCCACGCAAACTAACAATGCCATTCGATAAAGGAAATTTGCTCCATCTGATGCTGGTGTTTAATTGCTTGAATGTGTTTAGATTTCCGATAAATTTGCGAAAAAAGCCATTGTT